CCCTAAAAGATTAAATTGTCCTCGAAGTTTTAACATTCCCATGAATATATAAGATAAATTTTGTGCGAAAGCATTTTGGAGAAATAAGAACTGTCTTCTAAGGTGGAGGGCCAAGAAGGCCAAACTCTTATAAGCGAAGAACCTGTTAAGTGCTAAAATTGTGGTTGTAATAATAAAGTTACCAGAAATTCCTGTTGAGCTTGAAAACCCTTAGGATTCCCTAATCTTGGGTGGTAATCTCTTCCATCCTTTATCATCTACTGCCTGAGAAGAGAATGCTTTTTGTATAGAAAATTCTCCACCACTTGCATTTTATAGAATTTATATGCTACCTTACTTGTCTAAAAGGAAGAGAAATTTTAAAACATTATTTAATTGATTGATTTGAGATTGCACTACAAGTTATGGGTAGTCGAATATTGAATTTTATAAAGTCTATTAAAGATCATGTGTCTCTACTTGAACTGAGCCTAAGTCACATACAGAGAGAATCATTCCTCCACTTGCTAATCAAGGAGTGTAGTTTGAAGATTCTCAAGATTCAAAATCAATTTCTACTGCTAATGTTTGAAGATAATTGAATAAGTTTTTTACACCTAAAATAAATCTATTATTATTCCTGTCAGTAGTTAGAATTTTTTTTTTTTGTTTTTTGTTTTATGTTTTAATTAAGAAACCCGTAAATTGATATCCGGTTTCTTTGAATTTTTTTTTAAACCGTTGAATGAAACTCTTTTTTTTTTTTTTTGGGACATTTAGGCCATTTAAGGCAAACTCACACACACAACGCATACACATGAACTCGAACCTTGGACCTCTTAGTTGGAAGCCAAGCTTTCAACCAATAGACCAAGGAGAGCTGTGTGTTGAATGAAACTCCGGTTTCAATATAAATCCGTTTCAATACGGATAATCAAGTTCCGTTTTGCTCCTTTTTAAAATTTTTTTTGACCTGTTCCTTAAACTAATTTAACATTAAAACCCGCTCCTTTTGTAAAATGGCCTTTAAAATATCAATAGCCATACCTTGTGGACTTGGTTTATTGACTACGATTATAGGACAGAGAATTGCCAGCCATTACTTGTTATTTAATGTCGGTTCCGTGTTCCCCTGTTTTGATTTCGCAGGTGACTCCAACTTTCGTAATTTATTTTTGCAAAGAAATCTAAGGCTTCATTTTGGACCACTTTTTTATTGTTTCTTATAAAATTTTTGAACTAAAAAATTGCTTTAAGAAACAGCAAAAAAGTCATTCCAAACGAAATCTAAAATGTTATAGTTATAGAGTCGGCTCAAGCTCAACTTCTTAATGAGTTCTTCGTGCTCATACATTTTATAGAATGCTTGTAGGTATCAAATTGGTCCAAGAAAGAAAGAGAGAGCAGGAGAGAGAGAAGAAAAGTTCGGGCAAGTTTTAATCTTAATCTTATCTCTATTTTCATTGATTTTGAGTTTTGTCTATTTTTTTTTAATTGATAAAATTATAATATTTCTCATTTTAGTGAATTTTCACCTTATCATGTTAATATGTGATAGATGTGGTCACATTGAACATTTTGACTTGTTTATAATAAAAATTCATTTATTAGATTTGCATAAATGCTATTTTATTTGAAATGGGTAGAATAATATTGGGCATATAAAATATATGATATACAATTATTTATTATTTGACTGTGAGAATCGATTTAAATAGCAAACCAACTCCGACTTGGTTGAACTAGCCGGTTTAATAAATAACCTTTTTTATTTAAATATCATTTTAATATTAAAATTTTTTAATTAATTTTAAATGTATTTTGAAATCATGTGCTTATATAAATAAATTTAATCAGAATATAAAACTACTAGCTTGCCACATCATACAACTTTATTTTTTGTGTGCAAATTGTGCTTTACACTATATAGATCATAGAACAACTTAAAATCTCTAATGATATGGGACTAAAAACCTGTAGGAATTCTGCATGAGTTTAAACTATCAAATATTCAAATAGCTTGTGATACAAATTTTGATTGAAAATGCATAATAAAGCATAAATTTTTTATATTATAAAATTTATATATTATGTTATTATTTTTTTAATTTATATTTAATGCATTTTGTGTTAAATTTTTAATTATTATGTAATTTATATTATATTTAAATAATTTTAATATTTATTACATCATCCGGTTCGACCACAATTGAACCTCTCCTTTTGATTAGTTGTCCAATTTGATTTTCACAATCTTGTGTAATAGCTAGTATTCAATGGTCAAATAATATCTCAGAAGTCATTATAAGTCCAATTTGCAAATCTTCTTTGTCATAATATAGATATTATTTACTCTAATTAAAGTAGATTGTTTCTAATTTTATAAGCAATGTAAATATGGAAATAAGAAGTTTTATACAATGCCCCGGCATTGTACATTTGTACACCCGAGCACTTTAGCGCCCCGGCTCTGTGAACCCGAGCGCCCCGGCTCTATGTACCCAAGAGCTTTGGCACTGTGTTCCCGAGCACCCCAGTATTGTAGTGTTTGCTGGGAGAAAAAACAAGAGCAGAGCTCCATAACACCTTAGATTCAACACCGCAGCGCTATATAGTGCAGCAGTGTTGTGGGTTTAAGCACCACAACATCATATTGATAGAGGCTCGAGTGCCACAGCGCTCCAAATTAGCACGGTAGTGCTGCGAGGCAGAGTAGACAATTCTTTTTTCTCATTTCTCTTACGGGTTGCGTCCCTTCGTGTTATTAACTTGACTTTCTCTTCCTTTTTTGAGTGTGAGAATGGTGTAAAACAAATAGACGCAAGGAGAGAGCAAGAGAAAAGAGAATTCTATACTTATCTCTCACCATTTTTATAGTGGATTTCTTGATGTGGTGTGGCTCATTATTTTGGATTTTTTCACGTTAAATCTTCGTGTCCTTTACTTTCCACTAATTTTATTTTCATGTATGTTTCATCACAGTGTTTACTTCCATCCCCAGCAAAGGCATGATCGAATATTTAGTTTTTCATAAATAAACTCTATTAGTCTGCTATTTTCAACTTCTTAAGTGAATTTTAAGTTATCTAAAAAAAAACTCCAACTTATGACCTTCTTATTCAACGACGAGCTCTTCAACCCGCGACCTTCTTAATCAACATGTTATTATGCATTTGTTGGCCTCACTCTCATCTCTTGGTGTGTTAAAAAATAGTTCATTGTCACCCACTCCACTACTGAAGCAAAATATGATCATTCTCTACTTACTGTCGCCATTGATATCAGTTGGATTCGCCGTCTATATCAAGAATTTTCTATTTCACTAAACACTATGTTATTATATTGTGATGATATTTCAGCTATGTCTATTGCCACCAATACAATTTATATGCCCACACCAAACTCATCAATATCCCCAACCCGCGAATAAATCAACTAAAAAGTAGTTATTCTTCACTACCTTTTGCATCAATCCGAACCGTCGGCTACCAACTGCTTGTCTCTTGATCACCATTGATCTCTAACAACTTTGGGCATATTCATATTTATGCTTAATGCTATTGCACGTAGATATATTGAAATATTGTACTAAAACATTGACTAGTATTGCTGTAATAGAATTGCATACAGAATTTTTGAATACTTCTTCACTTATGTTTCAAATTTAGCTTACAGTTGAATTGTTCTGTTTTTACTGCAAAAATATTTCTCTGCTTTTCCAATTCTTCACTACCAACATATGCTTTTTTTATTCAGATTTCAAAAGATCAGCTATCAACAAAATTCAAAATGGTTATATGGATTCTTTCAAGGGAAAAGAATATACGATTAACCATGTCATTATTAGGTTTGTGTGAAATCTGATTGTTTGGATTAATTAAGTTGTATTGTTGTTTTAGATCTCAAATCTACCAGTCTAGCTTGCCGAGGAGCTCGCTGGAGGCTCGGTTTGCCTCACTTGGAAGTTTGTGGGCAAAGTCCTGAATTTTTTTTGTCCATACAGCCCTCAACAATGTATGCTTGAGAGTTGCTTCCCTTCAGGCTCAAGCTGGAGACAGAGAGTGAAGCACTATGACACTCCAGCCTTAGCGTCGCTATGTTGCGAATCGAGCTTAGCAATTTTGATTCGCCCTTCTTATTTCACTAGAAGGATTTCATCTTTTGGGTATTTTTAAGTGCGCCTCTTATCTGTTTTGAGGAGATAACTGTGTGTTAAGTGAAAAGAGATAATGAGAGATTATGAGAAGAGAGATTTGTACAATTTCTCCCAATTAACATCGTGAATATGTTGATGTGGCACTCACTCGTTTTCAGAAAGAGATGTTGGAAATACAAGATTTGGAGATCAATGTTGTCTATGTGGCACTCACTCGAGGTCTTTGTAATGATCATATTTATTATGATCTTTGTTTGCAGCAGCCAAAGACATTGATGGGGTTGCTTGAGAAGGCCAACAATCATATAATGCTAAGGAAGAATACAATCATAAAGGCTTTGATGTCTAAGCCTTTTCTTTTTTGTTCCTCTGAGGATTTGCGATAACTTGTGCTCAAGATCATCATAATAGGCCACACCATCATCAAAGTACAACTTCAAAGGAGTTATTGCCCCGAGAAATAAGAGAGAGAACTAAGGTCTTATGATCCCTTCAAGAGGGAGATGACACATAACACCAAAATTCACTTTAAAGTAGTCCAACAGCAATGATTGTTGAAGGATCGTAATTATATATTGGTCAAATGATGTTAGTAGTAGTCCAACGACAATGGTTGGTCGGTGGTTAAGCGGTGATTCAATTATATGATGGACGGATGGTAGTCCAGTTGAGCTCCAAGATTCTTCAAGGGTCTGAGTAATCTTAAATCTTATGCAAGATTTATAGATCATTTGGTTCTTCAATATATATCTTAAAATTTGCAATTATGCTTCTAGTGTTTGATTTGCACTTATTTGGTCGAGAGATTCATCTCGTCAAGATTTTCAATTTGACTATAAGTTTTCTTAAATTAGAGTTTGTCTGGTCCTAAATTTAGTTTTTAAACTTTTCAATTCAAACATCTATCAAGATTTTTGTTCGAACAAATTAAAATTTTTTATGAGGTGTCAAGGATTGACAGCTATAATTTCATTTATACTTCAAACATCTTGAGGACTTTTTTTTTTCAACACTTCTGAAACTTTGCTTTGTATATTCAACGGAAAAGTAAATCTTTTCAAATTTTACAAACTATTTGACAAATAGTATTGCTTTGATCAAACCTTACTGGCTAATTTCTTCATCATTCCATCTCCTCCATGAAATATGAATTTCATATAAACACTACATCGATTGCAAAAGGAAATCTAAAGGGTATATATCTCCCAGTTATTTCTTTTGGAAGATCCTCTGGCCAGGTGCCAGTATATGTAAGGGATCAAACCTTCTCTTCAGATCCTGAAACCTCTCCCATTTCCAACCAAAGTGAGCCTTCCATTGCATCTCATTCTGAAGATATGGCATATATTGTTTTGCTCCCATCTCTTCCCTATCCTCATTCATTACACACTCAGCAGGAAGAAGAAGATTATGAACTATGGGTTCAGTTGTCGCAATATTGATGATCTTCTGGTTCTGAAGAAGCATTGTATCAAGGCAGGGAGTGCCACGAGTACAGGTTGGTGGTGCTGACTGAAGAACACTAACAACATATATTATATCTTCCTCAGTATCTACCTGTGGTAGCACAGCTGACATCTTTGGATTCCACCTGTAAGAAAAAAAAAAACTTTTTTTTTTCAAAATTTTTTGATCATCTGAAACTGAAAGCTGGTTTCCCATTGAAATGATATATAGCCAGGTATGATTATAGTTGAATTTTAGATAAATGTTATGTCAGGAAGAAGGATGAGGCTTCAATCTGTCCTCAGCTGGTATGAATAAGCTATTTGATATAGCCTGAAATGCTTTATTTTGGACATCACATAGTTGATGAATATGTTCTTTTGATCTCAAGCCTTGGTTCAGTTTGAGCTAATGCGTTCTGTTGGTTCACTTATTTTATATTTGTGCATATCTTCTATCTACACTATTTTTTTATAAGGGGGGCTTCCATGCATACCATTTTATATCATGTTATTTACATACCTAACTTTGGATGTCCAAATAGAAGGAAACTCTCCCCTAGGGATATTTCCTTCTGTTTGGGCTCCAAGTTGGATGCTTGTATCCCAACTCAAAGACTCACTTTCATAACTCAATTGAAATTAAATTACATATACATGAAATTAAAAAAATTTAGACTCAAACATAACTTGCAGTGTTGTCCTAGGGAATTATAATTCAAATAAATCCCAAGTAGTTATAAATTTATATGAAATAAAATCACAGCCACACTTGACCAGGCTCTTTTCATTCAAAGGGACCTTAGCATTTTTTTCGCACCTGCAAAAAATTTGTCAGCTTAAAACTTTGTTTTACCCCTTTTATTTTAGCCATGTACGAGCATGTCAACCTGTAGAAAACTCTGTTAGCATTATGATCATTTCTAACTTAAGAATAATCTATCGCTCATCATATCAATTCAGAGATTGTGGGTCAAAAGTTTTTAAAGTTTTTAATATTTTTATTAAATAATAGACTTTAAGATGATTAATTAGACTCTAAGTTTGCTATATTTAAATTTTTTTACATTGAGTTATGAATTCTTGAAGTTTTGACCTATATTTGAACGACAGTTAATCAGAGAGTTGACTTTTAAACTGTGACTGAAATTTGGAGGTTTGACATTTTTAGAAAATAATACACTTTAAGTGGAGTTGAATGACACTGAGTTTGGTCAATTTAGAATTTTTTATAATTAAATATGAATTTTCAAAGTTTGTTAATTAGTTGAATTTTAAAATTGCTTAATTAGAAAGAATTTGGGGATTTTGACCTAAACCTGTACAGTTTAGGTCAAGTTGGGTGCAACCTAGGTCAAACCAGGCGGTGAGCTTGATGTGGAAGATGCATTAGGTCAAGGGGAATCTAATGCAAGTAACAATTGTGTTAGGTAAGGTCTTTGATGGAAGATGGCTCAAGTCAAAGTGGTTTTGACCAATTTGAGCTAGCCTAAGTCTTGACCAAGGTCAATCCAAGGGTTGGGCTAACTAGGGTAGGTGTGTTGGACCTAAGGCCACCCAATGGAGGTGTTGGTTTAGCTTGATGAAGCCTAGTTTGGGAAATGGCTCAACCCTAAGTGGTTTTGACCACTTTGGGCTAGCCCAATTCCTAACTTGAGTTGACCCAAGGGCTTGGTCAACTAGGGTATGTGCATTGGGTCATGGGAGACCTAATGCCACCCTTGGTATAATTTGATTTGGCATGGGTTGAGATTTTGCTAATGGAGACCCGACCCCTCCTTGGATACTTGGGCCAAGCCATGTGGCTAATCCAATTAGGCCCAAGACTTGGGCCTTTAAGTTGGATCTCCTAGGGATCTAATGAGTCCACCCATGGATTTGAATAGGTTATGAAAAGCCTTGGTCAAAGGGTTTAAGAAGGGTTGAAGTGTATGTAAACTTGATCAAACTTGTTTGAATTGCCCAAAATTGATCCCATGAGACTTAGGTCCTCACTGCACATAACCTTGCAGCCCTTCCAGCCCACAACCGAGGTGACGTTCCCTATTGGCAATCCCATGCGCAAGCTTGCGTCACTGATTGCACACATGACTGAGTGTTGTGTATGATCCACAAGCGGTCCGCTTGATTAGCCTAGAACCTTCTAATCGTTGCTTATATTTCTTCGCCCACAAACCATAAGAACAAATATTTCTTTCTTCAAATCGACGCCAAAATTTTACAAAAATTCAAAATCGTGCTCTAATACCACTTGTTGTGCAATAAACATAGTGGAAACAAAATTAAATCACACAACACAATCAATCACAATGAACACAATTATTTATGTGGTTCGGCGAAGATGCATACGTCCACGAAGAGAGAATGATGTCGCTAAATAGGAGAAAAATAGAGAATACAATTGATCTCTCTCTCTCTCTCTCTCTATCTTATACAGCGGCCCACAGGACCCTATTTGTAGATTTGAGAAAAAAACAAATTAGGAAAAAACTTCATAATCTAATCCCTAATCAAATCTCAATCAAATACAAAATTTAGAGAAATATTAGTTCTCTAAATAATACATTAATTGAATATCAAATCTTAAAAAAAAATAAATCTGATTTGATTTGTAATTAATACCAAATCAACATAAACTTTAATATTTCATGCCTTGCACCTATATTTGCTATATGAATGATAGTCAAGAAATATTAAAGTTTTGAATATTATATATGCAAATAATATGATATAAAGTGGTATGTATGTAAATTTTTTTTTTTTCATTATGTGGTTGGAAGTTTTTTCTCTATGATGGGTTATCATCAATAATTTAATATGGGTGGCTGAGTGCTGTAGATAATAATTTTCTTTTCTTTTCGTTTTTGGTTAAGTCTTTATGGCTATTAGAATATTATTGCATGTGTATGAATACCCAGCTTTCATTTAAAGGCTGGAAACGGGTGGATTGGAATTATTTTGTGATGTGCTGCTATTGGCGTATTTACTCAAGAATTTAGTAAAATACTATTGAAGGGGGTTTGACTAAAATATTTTGAATGAGTTTTATTTTTTTTTTTTCTATTTATTGCTATATCCGATTAAGAGAATAGTCTAAAAAGATTTAGAGTTTATTTGGGATGGCTACGATATGAAAAGTAAAGCAGTAAGAACGTGTCACAATCGAAACCTTAGTTAAGAAGTACTAGAAATAATATTTTTATTAGATTTAAATGATAATTTGACTCTTAATAATACGAAAAAATTGTTCTGTATGGATGTTGAACACCACCTGAAGACCAACAAAAATGCGCCCGAGCCTCGGTACTGCTGACATGGCGCATTCTGGTTGGTCTCTGAACGTGGTTCTGCGTCCGGCCTCCGCACAAAATAATTTGTCCTTAATAAAGCACATTAATTAAAAAAGATTCCTACAGTCAATCTCGCATTGTGGGACAAAATCTTGATATTGTTGTTGTCGTCGACGTCATTTATAATCATGTTTCTTTTGATATATATTTATTAGGTCAAAATATTGTGATGAAATTTTTTTATTAGAATGAATTTCAAATTTTGAATTGATTTATTTAAAGATAAATGTAATATAAAATTTGATTAATTATTTATATCTTATACTTATTTGCATGTAAATTCAATGAACTTGAGATCAATTCCAACTTTTTTTTTTAATGAAAAATCTTTTATTTTTGAGAAAAATATTTATTTTTGGATGAAATGAAGAATCCAACGTTGTAACTTCAAGCAATCAAATTAATTTATTGTTGGCGTGCAGAATGCAAAATATGGCAACCACAGCTAATAAAATTAACTCTTTCAGCTGTACAGCACTCCTCTGTTTTATCTGTGTAGAATCGCAACTTAAAACAACTATAATTTATTTAAGCCTTCAATTCCATTATATGAATGAACAGCTATATTTATCTCACTTTTTTATATAAATTTATAAAGAATTTTTTGTGAAATTTATATAGTCATAAATTCGACCGTTGAACTGATTAAAAAATGAGAATAATTTTAGTTGTTTATGTTATTCATGTAAGTTAATTTACCTAAAAAACAGCTGAAAATAATATCATATTTTATTTTAAATTTACAATTTACATTTTTCTTAATATATTAGAGATTTTATGACATGGTTGTTCGATAAATTTTACGGCAATTGTTGACTATCTAAGTCTATCATCTATTTTTCAGATTCAGATCTTAGGACCCGGCAACAATAGTGTTAAATAATAGAGAAAAAAATGATTTGCTTGAAGTTTCTTTTTACAAAAGCTAATGAGTTTGTTTAATTTGTTATCATATTTAGCTGATTTAATATATAAATAACGTTAGATAAATTTGAATGATTCTTAAAAGTCTATAATTAAAAAAGAGTGAAAACTTCACTAATAATAATCTAAAGGCATTACCAAATTCAATATCTGCTAAGCACATTGCAAATATAAGCGATTAAGGCTTCATTTGGGATGGCTTTTTTTCTGCTTCTTAAAGCAGCTTTCAAGTACAAAATTTTTAACTTTTATACTAAAAAACTGTTTAAAGAAGCAGCATTAAAGCCATCTCAAACGAAGCCTCTATCTTACTTAAAAATTAATGATAAGACTTCCAAAAAAAAATAGCTTGAAGGTAAAAGTAAATGCAATTAAACTATCAGAAGTTTTTCAATAACTAAGAGAAAACTTCACTTACTTGTTTCTAAAGATCGGATAGATGATAATAGGACCAGAAGTGTATGTATCTGCAATGGTTTCTAGTAGCAAGTCCTTGAACCTCTTTATCTGAGATCTCGGAAGAAATACGTTAAGCCATGGATGAGGCACATTCCATAGGCCTTCCTTACTCAGCTCCAGCTCGGACTTCCTTACACGATTGAGGAAGTCGAAGTATGAAGTATCAGTAATCTCTGGCCTTGATTCCTTATAGTTCAATCTTGGGAGGATGTGATTCAGTTTCTGTATTTAAGAAAACAAAAAAGATGAAGGATCAGCAACATGAACAACTTAACGTTAGTTGTTTATCCTATTTGTGTTATTTAGTAAATCATGCATGCTTGACAGAGGATTAAGGTTTTGTTTGGGACGGGCAAATTCGAACAACTTAACTTTTGTATCATTATATTCCGTCGGAAATCTGTCGGAAAGTCTGTCGGAAACCAGTCCGCCGGAAAAGCCGTCGGTAATAGGCTGATTTCCTGTAGTGGGGTTTTTATTGCTTTTTTAAACAGAGTTTTAATACAAAAGTTATAATTTTTGTACTAAAATTCTGTTTCAAGAAGCAATAAAAAAGTTGTTTCGAACAAAGCCTATGCTAGGAGATTACTAATATGTTGTTATTATTTGATTTAATATAGATGTGTGATTATTCTTTGCTCTATTATTCATCTTAGTAATATCTTTTGGCACCATATGAGAGTCATCCACATTGACCTTCACTATCAAAAAAACTTTACAACATCCAAAAATTATAATTTATCAAGAGGAGCGACACTCAATGGCTCATGTGGTGGAGTTTGCATGGAGATCACTATTCTTGCTTGATTCTAGCTTTATCATAGTAGAGGGATCACAAACTTTCTGAAACACTAAGCCAAACAAGTCATGAACGTTCATATTAATATAGATTATGAGGGTGAAACATTGAGAGCTCAGTTAAGCCCAATAAACTAGCGAAAAAACAACGATTAATTAATTAAAAAAAACATTAAATTTATGTAATTGGGTCACCATCTTGACTTGTTTTGATACTTCATGAAGTCTTATTTTACTTCTAATATTGTGGGGCTTATCGTTCACTTTCTCATACATCTCAATAGAGCTAAGGGATAGAAGAACTATCATGTTGATTGAAATCCTATCTTCTATTTTGGGGTATCAGGCTGAGGTTTAATGATTTTTTTTAAATATTAAAATATATATAATTATTTTTTGTAATTTTTAAATCAAATGAATTTATTTTTAAAATAAAAAATAAATAAATAAGCTTTCATATTTGAGTTTTTCAAATGCCTTAAAAAACAAATAAAAAGTGATTCCAAATAGGAACTTATAAGCATTATTGGATTAAAGATTCCAATTTTATATAATATTTTAAATTATTAGTATTTGACTTCTTGTTTTTCTTTGCAATTCTAAATGATGACTTGATAATCCCCTCATATATTTGAACTGCAATTTTAATTATGAGGTCATATATTATTATAGAGTAGGAGAAAATTCAGAAAAAAAAAAGGATATATATATAATACTAATGTTCTTCCTAAAAAAAATATAATTTTAGTGTATTAAAAAAAAAAAGAGCCGTTATGTTTTTGATATACGAAATAAATAATCTTATAGTCAAGTCATAATTGATACCTTGTAGGCAACATCTTCATCGTCATAATATACAGCAAATTCGATCAAATAGGAGACTAAATCATTTAATTTATCCTCTGACGAATTCCTTCTCTGCAAATTTATGAATCCTTCCAGGTAATCTACCTCTCCTCCATTGATCAGAAGCTCTTGATCTTTTCTGAACTGTTCAAAGCTCTTGTATGATATTACGACCCATTTCACCTTTAAATAAAAAAAATATATAAATGCAATAAGTTGCTACCAAGATACGATATTCAATAATTATATAATTAAGAATAAATAATTAATTTATGTGTGAACCAGCTTTGGTGCAGACTGTAATATGATTCTTGCTCTTGTTATGATTCCAAACTGTCCAAATCCTCCCAATACGCCATAGAAAAGATCTGAATCTTTTTCTTCAGAGCAAGTTACAAACTCTCCTTTACCTGTGTGAATAAAGTTACATATAGATCGAAAGTAAATGAAACAAAAGAAGAAATATATATCAGCTTCTTCCTTTAATTTACCTGTGATCACATCCAATTCTAGGACATTTGAAATCTGAGGTCCATGCTTGAATGACTGACCACTGATTCCACCAACAGAAAGAGTTCCTCCAATGGTGAGATACAAATAATCAGTCCAAGATCTTGGAGTCAGTCCATGCTTCAATGTCTCATGCAAGACATCGACCCATAGATCGCCGCCGCCGACGTCGACGAACTCCTTCTCCTTCTCAACCTTGATGAAGGTAGGAAGGAGAGTCATGTTGATGATGATGCCACCTAACACTTGTGATTGCCCATAGGTTGAATGAGCAGCTCCTCTTGGTGCTACTTGTATGTTCTTTGTGTTTTTGGAGAAGATTGACTGAATGAGTAGAGAGATTTCTTGTGGTGATTTTGGGTTGAGGATTGCAATTGGGTTCTCTTCTATTATCCTTCCAAAGTCTAGGATTGAGATGTCAGATTGGTAAGGGATGAGATTTGAAGTGGAAAAACTTGAGAGGATCAGATAAAAGAGAGTAGAGAGAAAGAGAAGATTGGAGTGCATGGTCAAGAAAAGATGTTGATTGATCGATATGAGAATACAAATGTGTTAGAGATTCAGAGAGCTCTTCTTCCTTCTCTTTTATATTAATTTGCATGGAGGAAAAAGAGAAAGAAAGTACGTGTTCGCGCACATCAAGCCAGCCCAGGAGTAGCTTGTTGGATGAGGAGCTTACACCTGGATTCAAGACCGATACATATTGTGCGTAAATATTATTATTCAACACTCATTATTCTTTAAAAATAAAAAGGAAAAAATTGCAAACCAAGCTTTAACTGGCAGCTTTGATTTGATAAATGTATTTGATTTCTCAGTCAACTTTTGAAAAATGAAATATTTTTATATATGATTTTATGCATATTATTTAAGTCAATGGAAGGAAAATGAGGGAATTGCTCAGAATTAAATTAAAAAAGGAGTTTAAATAGGACGAGGAAGCCATTAATTAATAGAAAATCAGATTTTTAAAAGGGAAAAAATAAGTTCTTATTGGGGCCCTGTTTGGCAAATGATCAGCTTTTCATGACGTGATTTTCATGTAAGCTATATATTTTAGAATTTTTCCTATTCTGAAATAAAATCATATAAACTAATCAATGTGTAATCTGATGAATGACAACATATTAATGACAAAATAATTAATATTTATTGGACGTTCAAGTTTTTGTTAGCGAGCTTCCCTTTTTTGTACGCAATATTGCATATAATACGCTTCTGTTTTCTTGCTGTAACTACTTTTTTGGATTGACTTAATCAAATTTGTGTTTCTTTTGATTGCTTCCCTTGCTGTCCCATGTGGCATGCTTCTGTTTTTTTAAAGGAAGTTGCTTCAATAGTCAAGCTTTTCATTTACGTAGCATATTAATTAGCATGTGGTATCAAAGAAGTGTAATGTTGTATTTTTGTACGCCATAAGTTCGATTAACACACATTTGTGCTGATTGTTTACTGGGTGCGCAATAGAAGCATAATTTTTTTAGGTTTCGAACACATATTATTTTTTACTAACCGTTTTTCTTGCCATAAAAGTAATCAATAAGCTCTTCCAAACAAAGCCTAAGACTTCTTTAGTTTGGCCCGTCTAACAACTAAGGTTGAAAAGAATTATGGCCATTTGGTCAAATTGAGCAGTTCGAATGCACACATTATTTTTTCAGATTCATGAATGACACATGGGTGAATTCAATATGAGCATTGGGGCATGTGTTCCTAATAGCTCTGGTTTGCTTGGCAAAATCGCTTGATCTGATGATCAAGCTCCACCCTTCAACCACTTTATTTCATGATTTTGGAGTTGGAAAATAGATAAAATTTATGAAAATATAGTGTAAAGAACTTAAAAAAAAAAACAAAGAAATGAACATAATTAACATGTAAAAACTAAGAATATTATACAATCGATCGCTACATTTTATTGTCATCGTCACATATTTCATTATAGTTTAATTTGGTGAATCTCAAATATAATTTATTTTAGATACATAAGGCCTCTATAAATCCCCTCATCTTCAAAAAGAAAAAAAAATTATAAAATTGAAATGTACAATAAAATTCTCATAATAACTTGACTAATATTTTGTTTGTGACAACTTTTTTACTCCTTGTAAAACTGTTGTAGATAAAGTGATTTTTAAAGTTATTATAGAAAATAATTTTTTAGTATAATTTTTTTTTTGGAAGCAGCTGAAAAATAAGAACCAAACAAAAATTATGATTGTTGTTTGAAAAATAAAACAGTAAGAAATTTATTCCAAACAAAACCTAAATATGCATGTTTTAAATATTCAACATTGTGATAAAATTTGAAATTTCCAAAGCTTGCAAAGCCTAAGAAGTGTGATTATCTTTGTTCATATGTCAAAGTTTTAAAAAGATCATTAAAAACCTTGGCTCTACATATCAAGAGACCTTTCTCCCAATCAGTCAAGGGATTGGGTTGGGTTGGGTTGCATTTGGGTGGGTCAGCAATAAGTTTTGGACCAAAAACTAAGCACAAACTCTATTATTAACTTGATTTGATCGATTGAATTGTGTTAGCCCTCTCAAGGTAATGCCTAAATCTTGATCTAAACCTACATAATACATTCAAATTTAAAATATAACAATTTGATTAGCTTGATTAGCATATTAATAAAGAATCATTTCATATTACAAAGTGAGATACAAATTTTAATCTTTTACAAAAGCTTAATACTTGAACTTTTAAATTCTAATATATTTTAACTGTATTTTATTATAATATTTTTATACGGATCAGCTCGTATGTTAACAACTTGAGTCAAGATTGGCTCAAATTTGACTCATTAGCTCATCGAGCTTAGCTCAACCCTGCTCACAAACCGACTAGACTCATTTACACCTCTATTTTACAAATTCATAAGCTAAAAGAAGACCTCGATTATAAGAAACTAATTTCCTTAATAACATGGATGCAAACGCAATTGAAAGACCTTTTTTCCTTTGAAATATTTTCCTTCTAAATTTATAATTTTGCAATTTATTTTTATATTTATTTTTTGACTTGTCTTTACAACGGTTATTCGTTCAAAATAGAAAAAAAAAAAAAAATCTAAACGTACGATATAGAATTGCAAGCTGGAGTTAATAGATGTGTTTATTAATAAACATTCATAAGTAAAGGTTTGATAAATAAAGAAATTTCTTTGGACAGTTAGCTCCAACAGCTAAGAGAATTAAGGATTTATATTTCTCACTGATGGGTGTTCAAAGTGATCAATTTATAATATGATAATTATTCAAGGGAATATATGTATATATAATACAATTTATATTATTTATTTATTTGACAAATTAGTTGTCCTTTGCATATCAAGCTAAGAGATTTATTGGCTTAGGCGAAGTGAAACGTTGGATTTAACAATTCAATGGTATATTTGGTTGGAGATTGTCTTTAGTTATAGAATATTCAATAAATTTTGATGGGATGATAAAAGAGTCTATGTGATTGAATATAAATTTTGATTCAATTTCAAATCAATTTCAATGACACGAATCAATGCCTAATTTACGTAAAATTAGAGCACAAATAAGTTGAAAACAGTCAAATAGTCCATCGCATGATCTGACTCATTAATTTCATTGACTTTGAAACGCACAAAATCAATTGAATCAAATGCGCGCGTAGAAGTCTTCAAGGTGGGCAAATAGGCTAGTTCATGGCGATCATGTATGGTTCAGGTTGGACCGACCCCATTGGATTGGCTTCATCTTATGCCCTACAAGGGCTTATCATAGCTTTCCTAATGTGGAAGAAGGCGAGTTGGTGACTAGTTACATCATCAGAAGCACCAGCTTTGACATTGAAGGGATCACCGAAAAAGCCTTTTTGAATGCCTTAGATGTGAGTGAAAGGCTAAAGCCATTTGATCGTGTTGATGCGTGCTATTTAAAATGCTAATTATTCAAAATGCTAAAATAAAAAAAAATATAAATATATTTACTTGAAAATTTGGACATTTTCTTATTTGGTGATCATACATTAGAGATAATGGACATTCTCACTATGTTGATTACAGATCCTAGTATTAAATTTTCAATATGTCACTATGATTGACATCATAACATTAAGATTTATAATGTTACGGACATGAGTAGAGCCGAATGTTGTCACACAACAATAAACTATTATAGTTAAACTTGATCTTATAGAGCTAATAATTTCAACACAAAATTACCATCATCAACCAATTGCTCGATGATTTAAGTGCATGATCTTCATTATTATCAAAGCATAAAAAATTATACAAAATGTTGTTCATAAAAAACTGTAAAGTCCATCATTTAGTTCATTTTATTAAAGCATCCTAGCTCTAAAGATCGGCAAATTATTGCGTCCGGTGTCCGGATTCGTCCGGACACCAATCCGGTGTCGCTACGTCACCCAAATATACCGGGATCCAGTGTATTTGGGTGACGTGGCGCAACGGATTTGATGTCCGAACATTCGGTGACCGGACGCAATAATTCACCCTAAAGATCACCTTGATCTTTAAGAATTTTTTATGAATTGCAAGTATAGACAATAGCTTTAGCAGCCTATTATCTTGAGTTTTATAGACACGTTTTAAGTGCTTCAATTTAGATTTTCTATATTATTTTCTCTTATGGATGAATTGTATGTATGAATTATTGGTTATAAAAATAACTTAATAGATTATGCCACATTAAAATCATTTTTTATAGGTTCAAGTCTTACAAATCCCATAAGATACATTTTGAGTCAAATCATCATATTTTTTTACCAAATATTTTAGAGAATTTCATGATTAAAGTTGCATCTAAAATTAGAGAGAAGTTATTAGGATTATAAGTATTATATCTAATCAAAAAGAATTTTTGCATTATGTCTCTCAAAGCAACTCAAAATGATTGAATATATGCTTAATTTATCCTTACTAATTAATTTATAATTTGAAGAGCTAGCCTCGAAAATACATAAAACCTTGCCAAAATGTCGACTCTCTCACCATGAAGAAGCCATCAGCACCAATATATATAGACTAAGACTTTGTTTGAGAGAAATTATTCTGTGCGGATGCCAAACACAGCTCTACATCTAGAGACTAATCAGAATGAGCCATGCAGCAATACCGAGCGCGGTACCGAGCAGTACCAAGCCGCGGTACCGACGTGGCTCATTCTGGTTGGTCTCCGGAAGGCCTTCGGCGTCCGCACATAATAATTTCCCTTGTTTGGGATAGCTTTTGACCGCTACTTTTTCATTATTTTCAAGAATTTTTTTGTACTAAAAAGTTGTAATTATAGAAAGCAGTAAAATAAATGTGTCACAAGAAGCCTAAATGTAAGCCCAAAAAATTCTAAAATGACTAAAATAAAAGGGATTTAAGCATATGAGCATGGCTTGAGAGGCTGCCCTTTTCTTCCTCACTCGTGCATGCCATCCAACTGTGTGAATAAATACAAACTAGCTTTAATGTAACAACCACCTCATCGACCATCCAACAGCCAAGTGATCGAGCAACCTCTATCCATCTCATATATGATCATCACACTAATGAAGTCCGATCACATATATAAATGCTTGCTAGTTATATGAGCAAACTCTAACCATTACTGATTCAAAAACATCAAGATCTGTACAGTTTTGCATTCCAATCGCCGATCAAAAACATCAGTAGCAGAGATCAGCGATCACCATCTAATA